ACACACACACACACACACACACACACACACACACACACACACACACCCCTCTCCCGGGATAAAGCAAGCTTCATGGAGGAAGGAAGATGAGCAAAGATGGAGGATAAACAAAACAGGAAACGACAAGCGCCACGAGCAGCATGGGACAATTATGCCTACCTGGAAACACGTGGATAACAACGCGCGCAGGTCTGCAGGAGACAAGCAAAAAGGTAGGATTTTGTTTTTGTGTGTCCTAATTTGTTTTTAGCTCCAGCTGTCACGGGGCGGATGTGGAGGTGGGGGGAGGTCGTTTTGACAGCTCGTGCGGCACGCAGCGTGCATGCCTGCTCCTGTCAGTAGTTTATATGAAGTTGCTTGGCACAAATAAGCAGATATAGTAAGCRTGCTGCTGGTTGCTGGTTTCACTTTTAATGCTAAAACTGGCTGATGWTCTATTTTTTTAATCAGGTGCTGACTGAGCTGCTATTTCTGGAATTATAACAGAAGCAAAATTACCCTGATGATTGCTTTATGGGTAAACATGATACGACGTGAGAGCCATCAGCAGTGTGTGTWTATAAAAAGTTGGCTTGGTTGCAGCTGAGTGGGGTTGATACTCGCCTTTTCTCCCGCCTTGCTGATTCATTTTAATCCACACGTGTGGGATTGTTTTGTTTTTCTTCTTCGCTCGCTGTCTTCTTGCACTGGATGTTTATCCCCTTTTGCGCGAAGCTGAAGCGTGGTTTAGGTAGTTTCATGTTGTTGGGGTTGGCTTCCTGACTCGGCAACAAGAAACTGCCTTGATTACGTCAGTTCGTCTTCATCAAGGGCACAATTTCCGCTGAATTACCCCCCTACAGTCCTCCCCGCAAATGGCATTGTAAATGAACTGAGCAGCAAAGCCCTGGACATAGAGAGACGTTTTCTTTCTTTGCTGTGTTTTATTTTTATTTTTATTTTTTTGTGGCGGGCTGTAAACGCTTGTGAAGCTCTCTCGGAGAGAATGGGTTGTAAATAAGCAGGGGTAAAGTTTTACATTGTGTTGTGTTGCATCAGTCATCACGCGCTGTCGGCTCGGGTTTCCTTTCTGCTGCTTTATGATGGAACAGAGAAATGAAACATATTTGGAAGCTGGATGGACGGATGGATGAATGGACAGATGTCACTTTTTGACTTATTTTTTTTTAATTTGGAGTTACAGCTGAAACATAAACAGATATCTATTGCTATTTTTGCCACATTGTGTGGACTACCTTTATTTTCTCCGTGTTTTTAAAGGTTTTATTCCAAAAACACAATTTGTTTTAATTTGTTGTTTTCTAGATTTGTTTTTTATTATTATAATGTAAAAGTGAATGCGACAAAGTCAAAAAAATGTTGAAAATTCAGAAATAATTCAGTACAGAGTCACGTTTTTTTTTGTTTGAGACTTTTTAAATCTAAATTTGTGCTCTGATCATAATTTCAGCGTGCTTTGTTGTTTTGCTGCAATCTCTAAGATAATAAATTGTGTTTAATTATTATTCCCGGACACTTGAAGCGCCCGTGTTTGCATCAGTTTTCATTAACTTGCCAAATTAAAATGTTTGCTGTGTTATCAGAAGCTTTTGTGCAGAATATTTAATTGAATCTGAGCACAGATTTATTAATTAAGCTTCATTTATTCCGTATCACTGTTTTTAATTGACGGAAAACTTTATTGATGTTTTTGCGCAGAGCACTTTGGTAATGTGTTTGGAACATTTAAACTGTGATTCATTAGTAGAAATTTGCTCTTATAGTAAGCTTTTTTTAAAGTCCAGTGTTTACGCTGTTCTCTATGTCCCCCCAACCCCACACACACCTCAGCTTCCTCCTTTTGCGCTCAGCACCACAGGAAGAGACAGTCTGGAATCCAAAGTCATTTTCATTCAGCTCTCTCTCTCTCTCTCTCTCTCTCTCTCTCTCTCTCTCTCTCTCTCTCTCTCTCTCTCTCTC